CACTGTGAATGTTTACATGTTATGTGCAGTTAAACCATGGCAACATCTAATGTTTGTGTAGTATTATGTTCAGCAGACTGTGTTCTTCTATTGTTGTGACTTAGATGACGTTCAGAGCACATTTTATGCCCAATTCATGCAAAACTCCACGTAATCCCAAGGGGTTCACATACTTTTTCTTGCAACTGTATATGTAGGGGTATATATATGCACATATGATTTTATAGTCTCATATTTTATATTAAAAATCTTTTATTAATAATTACATTTTATAATAAAATTATGGTATAGATAAATTGTGATATAATTATGTATGTGATAAATGGTATTTTTAAAAAACTTTTTTGCATTAATTGTAAAGCTGTATATGTGCTATGATCCTGCAGGTTTGTGAATAGTGACAATATAGTCAGAAAAGGTATCAGATACGTAGTTAAACAGACTGATAGGAACTGATGATATGTGTCATACATATCAGAAGTGCATCAGCATATGTAGACCCCAGGAAAATGGCCACGCCCATGCGGTCTACAAGAAAATGGCGCCGACTGCCTATATAAATAGAGCAGAGCGCAGTGACGTCCAATTGTTTTCCCCCTGATGAAGCCACATGACCCTGTGGCGTAACGCGTAGGGGAGGGGCTCTGACGTCACGACGCCGCGGTGGACGAGCGGCATTCACAATCACAGGATCTGGAGCATGTACCAGCTGAATACTGATCTAGTGGACACTGCAAAATGTGAGTGGTGACTTTATTCTATTAATAAAAGATTGAACCTCACAAGGGATAAGGCACTATTGTGGCTCTCTTTTACATGGTTCATTGAGAGGAAGATATACCATCCATACCATTTCTACCTGTCCATTGAGGCTAATATGTGGAAGGAGGAGTAAGGGAGACCTCTGGTGGCAGAAATAAGGCAATCCACAGCATGGATGGAAATACGTATTTAATGTGAAGATCCCTACCCTGTCCTGTTAAGGACAAAAAAAGTGTTTTTTAGCCTTGTTTGGCTAATCAAGGAGGTGAGCGCACACCTATCTGTAGAGCACGGGGAGTGTGGCACGAATCACCATATTTTGTCACTGAAAAGTTATAAGAGCATAAAGAGGACTATTTATGAGTGTTGGATTAATATTATTTTTGTAATTACATCACAAGGTGCACTGGTTTGAAGCACTTTTTATTTATTTTTTTTTTTCTCACGTCAATATTCATATGATCACTAATATATAAGTTTATATGTATACTTTGGAGCGCGACACATATATATATATATTTGTAGATATATATTTATTTTTCATTTTTGCGTATGATTTGCACAGATAATGAGTATTGTGTATAGTGTTGATGCACCAAAATTTGATATATAATTTTGTTTGTTATTATTCATTGCACTAGGGGAGTATCACATTTTGGCTCACGAGTATTATTAATTTTATTTATGATATGGAGAGGAATTCCAATTTGCTATTTATCAATTTCACATGATGAATGATGTTTTTCATCATTAGTGTTGGGCTAGATGTTTGAGTCGAACGTAAGTTAAACTCGAACATAGGTCGTTCGTTTGTTTGGCGAACATACGAACGGTTAGGGTGTTCGGCAGGCTGTTTGCCCGCCATGCCCCATAATGCACTGTGCCCTAACAGTCCATTTTGATTGGCCAAAGCAATGCACCTGACCCCACACGTGTTTTTTTTTTTTATTTTAATTGCCGGACAATGCTGGCTATTCTTTGTACATTCACCTGTCAGCAGAGAACCCTGCTGACAGCTGAAACGTTAAAGAATGTTTTTAGTAGCTGTGCAGATGTGGTAAGATACCACTTAGTGAATTGTCCCCTCTGTTTGAATGTTCAACCGCGAACCGAACAGAAGGTGTTCGGCCCATCACTATTCATCATTTCCTTTTGGATAGATAGATAGATAGATAGATAGATAGATAGATAGATAGATAGATAGATAGATAGATAGATAGATAGAGTGAAGGAAATAAGTATTTGATCCCCTGCTGATTTTGAATGTTTGCCCACTCACAAAGAAATGATCAGTCTAAAAATTGAATGGTAGGTGTATTGTAACACTGATAGACAGAATAGCAACAAAAATTTCAAAAGAAATGCATGTCTAACAAATTATGCACTGATTTGCATGTTTATGAGGGAAATAAGTATTTGATCCCCTTCACAAAACATGACTTAGTACTTGATGGCAAATCCCTTGTTGGCAATCACAGAGCTGAGATGTTTCCTGAAGTTGGCCACCAGGTTTGCACACATCTTTGGAGGGATTTTGGCCCACTCCTCTTGGCAGATCCTCTCCAAGTCATTAAGGTTTGGTGTCTAATGTTTGGCAACTCGAACTTTCAGCTCCCTCCACAGATTTTCAATCGGATTAAGGTCTGGGCCACTCCAGGACCTTAATGTGCTTCTTCTTGAGCCACTCCTTTGTTGCCTTGGCCATGTTTTGGGTCATTGTCATGCTGGAACACCCATCCACGACCCATTTTCAATACCCTGGCTGAGGGAAGAAGGTTCTCACCAAAGATTTGACAGTGCATTGCCCCGTCCATAGTCCCTTTAATGCTGTGCAGTTGTCCTGTCCCCTTAGCAGAAAAACACCCCCAAAGCAAATTGTTTCCACCACCATGTTTGACAGTTGGGATGGTGTTCTTGGGGATCAAATACTTATTTCCTTTACTGTAGATAAATAGATAGATAGATAGATTGATAGACAGACAGATGATAGATAGATAGATAGATAGATAGATAGATAGATAGATAGATAGATAGATTGACTGATAGACAGACAGACAGATGATAGATAGATAGATAGATAGATAGATAGATAGATAGATAGATAGATAGATAGATAGATATTGTTTTTCACTATAGTGATGTAATAAACATTTAGAATTTTATGTGATTGAATCAAGAGAGGACATTCACAAATACCTATGTATATGAAAGTATTTTTTCTTTCTTCTGTTACATAGTTAAGAAAGTTAAAGTATAATCCTGCAAAATTGTATACAATGTTGAAGTAAAGAAAACATTAAAATTCAGGGATAGAGATAAATACACAACTCAAATGTGTATGCACTCCAACGCAATTGATTTCCAAGATCTGGTTACGAGTACAATATTTTGTAACATGCTCCGCTTTATTAAAATCCTAATAAGCTATTTCAGCTGTAACAATGTACTGCAATAGGATGCTGTAAGTTCACTTTAAATTGCCTGGCATGACAACTACAACATTATGCACCATGTGTAATTTTGATAGTCCATGAAATCTAAGACGTCACATTTATCCGCAGGCTGAATAATAATAAGTCTGCTGTCTGCTGTCAGAGTTTTAATAGCTTCTGTTACTGCGAGATTGTGCAGTGTTTAATGCTGCAAGTTGGTATCCTGTGAAACATCTTGCATCGTTAAACAGTCTTAACTTTTGATTGATGTTTCCCATGACTTAGGGTCAGAGGTGATTTTTGTGAACAAATGTTTGGAAATTATGTTTGAAATATCCCTTTAAAAGAAATCTGACCGTATTTCTAACAATCCACTATTTCATGCCAAGTTGTTTCAAAGTATCTCCGCATAGAATGCAATCTAACTGATAAGCACACAATCAAAGTAATACAGACTCTTCCGTCTTGGCAATGGCAAATGCAAGATTTTACAGACTCCAGGAATTCCAAAATGAAACAAGTACAGTAAAGCAGGAACTATCACAAAACAAAAACGCAATTTGCCCAAAAACAATTTCATTGATTGTTGCAGTTTGTTCAGTTTAAAGAGACACAGGCACAAGAGATACATAAAGGCTCCCATTACTGAAATTTCATTTGAGAATGCTAGTTCCCTAAATGAGTTTATTCAAAGTTGTCGGAATCAATGACCTGGAGCAGAAGTAGAGATAAGTAGAGATGAGCTGATCACATCTGTGTTTGGTTCGAGGCGGGTTTGTAGAACATGACTAACAATTGGGTGCTGAATCCAAACCCTCATTAAAGTCTAGGGGAGCTGAATGTTAAAAACAGACAAAATGACATTTTCTAAGCTAGATATTGTTAAACAAATGGGTTGGAGAAGAGAGTTGGGCAGTGCTATGGGGAACATGCACACACACAAAAAAAAAACCATTTTGTTAACAGGGAGCAGCAGTTTTAACAACGCTTTAAGTTAAGTGTTCATTGACAACAGAACGTTCCGTTTGTGTTTCCGGAACTCCGGTCAAAATGCACTGCAGTTGCAGGGGGTATCAATGTTAAATTAAAGGCAAATGCAGGTCACAAACACAATGAATTTGCCTGCACCAGATCGCATGGTACTTCTGTACTTTGAATTGCAGTGCATTTGTTTAATGTAGCGCATGCACTACCTTTGGTGCAGTCCAGTGCAATATAGCCTATTCAAAATGAATGGGCTCAAATCGCACTACAATGCACCGCATGTGAATTCCTGGTGTTAACTGGCCATAAAAGTTCAAAATTACTCTAAATAACATGCCTGGGACTACCTGCTAAAAATATAAATAAATAACATTCTGGGGATGCCCTTAACTTGCCTGTAAATGTACTACAGCAAAACTGGTACACTGCACCCATATGACATTTTTATCATTTTTTTGTGACAGATAGAGCTTTATTTTGGTGGTATTTAATCACCTCTGGGTTTTTTATTTTTTTCTTAAACAAACCAAAAACCACTGAAAATTTAAAAAAAAAACAGTTTTTTCTTAGTTTTAGTTATAAAATTTTGTAAATAAGTGATTTTTCTCCTTCACTGATGTGCGCTAATGAGGCTGCAGTGATGGGCACTGATAGACTGCACTGATGGACAATGATAGGTGGCACTGATGGGCACTGATGAGGAGGCACTGGTAGGTGGCACTGATGGGCATTGACAGGCATCACTGATGGTAATGACAGGCAGCACTGATACATGGCACTGATAGGCGGCACTGACTGGCACTGTTAGGGGGCACTGACTCTCACTGTTAGGCGGCACTGACAGGCACTGATAGGTGGCACTGATGTGCACTGATAGGCGCCACTAACTGGCACTGATAGGTGGCACTGATTGGCAGCACTGATAGGTGGCACTGATTGGCATTGATAGGTGGCACTGACTGGCACTGATGGGTGACACTGAAAGGTAGCTCAGATGGGCACTGATATGTGGCATTGATGTGTACTGGTAGGCACTGATATGTGGCATTGATGTGGCACTGATGGGCACTGGCAGGTGGCATTAGTGAGCACTGACACCGTTACGCGGCACTGACTGGCACTGTTAGGCGGCATTGACAGGCACTGATAGGCGGCACTGACTGGCACTGATAGGTGGCACTGACACTATTACAAAAAGTTGCAGTAAAGCTGAAGTCTAGGTATGATCTCTGTTGCACGGTTTCACTGGTCCAGCTTGGACCAATGTACAGTAAGTATTGTCTCATACCTTAAGGGACACTGTGGAAGGTGTAGTTGTTGTTGATGTCATAGTGATCATTGCTACCTCCTGGATTCTGTGCTAACCAACTTCCCTTCTAAACTGAGACCTTCTGCATTGAGACCACAGGGGATCGCTCACTTGGCACTGCCACCATTCACAAAATGGCTCATATTTTTTCAATAAACATAAAATGTTCTCTCACTGAATGGGGTAGAGATTGTGACATCACTCCCTGCCTCTCCTCTTAGTCCAATAATAGAACACCTTGTGTTCATTTTAAAAATACAAGGCATTTTGGGAACAGTATTGGTGCCAAACGAGCATTCCTTGTAGTCACTATACAATAGGTAATTCGCTCAGCGCAGGACCTAGAAGATAGGAGTTATCCCTGTTGCAGCGCCAAATGCTACAGTAATTGTCTCCTCCCCCAGCGGTCTCTCAAGGTCTCTGTGATTCCAATAGCCGAGGCTCTCGTGCACATCACTGGATCGTGATAGGGCTCAGGTATGAATTGGGGGCTGCTGCACACAGAATGTTTTTTACCTTCATACATAGAATGCACAAAGGTAAAAAAACCTTTCGCTTTTACAACCACTTTAATTAGATGATGCTGCACAAACTATTTGTATGTCTCGGTGGTCCTTGTTAAAGTACATATGTGGACATTGCTTTCTCTGACAGACCATGGGTCAAATCCATTTTGATAATTCCTCCATATTTGGAGGAATCAGATTTCTTAGGTAACAGCATTGCAGTATCTACAGATTGACTATGTCATCCTTTTGTGCTGCTTTCAACTTGATGTGTTACATTCTCAGCAATATAAGAAGTTTCCATGAAACTCTGTTAGAATGCAACTTGAAGACAAGTACCGGTAATTTAAATATTTCCATGGAAAAAGTGGGTGGCTTACATGTTCCTGATTTGCTACTCTACAGATGCCTTATTTGCTATAGGATAAATAATTTCACTTATAGAGCCATTCACGGAGCTGCAGCTATTTTGAGAGTACCAACACCACCACTGCTATATGATCATCACATCCTCATTATTTACACATAACATGTTTTATATACGTTTTCTGATATATTGATTTATATTTCAGGAAGTGCTTAGATATTTTTTTTGATGATCATCTTGGGAGTTTTTTAGGTTTAGGTTATCTATGTTTTTAACCTGCGCTTTGTGTCTTTATAATAATGTTATTTGCAATAAAATATGTTTGTTGCATAAAAGTCATAGACATTTTTGTTTTCCTTTTTTTTTTTATAAAAATAAACAAACATTTGGATGTCCATGGAAGCCCTATGAATGTAGATATTTATACAGTAGTACTGTCTTCAAGTTCTCGGCTATGGGCTTTGGATTTGTTATTACTTTTTGGTTAATTGTGTAAGGGTAGGGTTTTGAGGCCTGTTCACAAAATTGGGTTGTTGACTAATAGTTCTGTATGGCATATGGGCTGTCGCCATGGCAAGGAGTCTGCAAGCTTACAACCCTTTAATCATGGGATAGCAGCTCATATGCTTAGAGTACATTTGTGGGCAGCGATGTCTTGGTTTATTTTTTTTACATGTATTTGTGACACCCACCTTCAAAGAAGAACCCTTAAAGAAGAACTTTGGGAAAGGCAAGCAAATCACCCATTAGAACATCACCTACACAAAACACTAAACGGTTAATACATTTTTGAAAGTCCTTACGATTTAGGAGGAAAGTCTAATTGAATGTTCATGACCTCATATCTGTAATTAAAAAGATAACAGCATCTACTCTGCTAAGGAGGAGGTGTAACAGCAGGGAACACATAATATCCTCTCCTCACTCTCTGCAGTAAAAGGAAACTACAGTTCCCATGAATCATAGGAAACTGTGTTGGAATGTGGGTGGGTACAGTAGGCCTGTACATGTTGAATGTGTCTGAGAGTCTCAGTCTACCCACAACTGCAAATGGGGCTGAATTACATCACTGCTTCCTGGAGAAAGAACTACAGAAGGGATGTGCTAAGACTAGTAGCTGGGAGAACAGGAGGCATTTCAGCCACTGGTCCTACAAACAGGAAATCAAAGAAAATCAATGGTTTGATTTTAAAATGAATAGGCTATTTCAGAGCAACTACTGAGTGAACCTGAAGATGGATGATATATTCAGTGAAGATAGGAAATCAGCAACAAGGACATGTACAGAACATTTTGACCTGAGTTCTGTTTTAAGCAACTGGAATGTATCCCTTTGAATGGCAGAAGGAGAACATGAAGATATACATGGGGCTTGCTTTCATTCAATATATTTATTTATGAATATATTAAGTGCAGCGCATACAAAAAATCCACCGATAAGGTAGAGTGTTAAAGGTATTTTTGCAAATTAGTGCAACACATAAAGTAATGCATAGACAAATATATATCATGAAAACCAATGTAAATAAGCAATGTCAATAATCAATAAAGTCCTTCCACAAATGAATCTGTGTATCAATGATGATGAAGAGCACAAACATGTCCAGTTCCACACAGTGCTTAAAAGATCAGGTGAATGTTCCACCACCAATATGCACTCACCAGAATGCTACTTGTGTAGTAGCAGTAGCCAGAGATCGATGCATACAGCTCCCCGGTGACCACAGAACCGATGGCGTCCTAAGAGAAATGCTTACTACACAGAGTCCAAAGATGGTTCATAGTGCAGCAGTTTATTGAATAATATTAAAAACATTCCATTTGGAAAACATCAATGAAAAAGGGGAGCAAGCAACATACCAAAATGGCCGCCGTTCCGGGATGCGGACACAGCGGTGTGAAGTCAGCAAGTAGGCTCCATAGGGTTGTCACTATCTCTGGTGCTAGCTGCTTATATTTACCCAACGCTCACCTGTTTTATATATTCTGACATATTTATTTATTTGCACCAGTTGAGCAGACCTTTTTTTATGCAGGGTTTGGTGAACTGTTAGGTGAGCTCCTCAGGAGTAGGAGGATAGATTGCCAGAGGTACAGTCCACTGCAGAGTTAAAGAAGCCATCAATGACTTCTTAGTGCTTTTGCCCCATTTACAGGATACTGATAGGCACAGGAGGGGCAATATGCAAGATTATGAGGTATCTAATTATCAACATATGAAGAATTATATCAACCTGCAATTACATGTTGTGCTATTTCCAGTTAAAGCTCAACTCCAACCGTTTTTTTTCTTGATTTGGACAGTGTCGGAAAAATCTAAAAGCTCTGTTCTCTCTTTCTCTCTCAAAAGAATTTTATGTACCCAAACTGAAACTTAATATTCTGCACTGGAGACCATCCTTATCTTCACTACAGAAGAAGGTCTCTATCCTCTTTAGTGCTTCTGCGCCACCATCTTGAAACAATATCCAGCACATGCACACATATGCCGTGGCTCTCTGCCAGGTTCCATAGGACCACTTCAGTGGCTGAACACCAGTTTCAGTCACAATAGTCACTGTCCGCAGTCTCTGACTGTCTCCTGTACTATTTTTGTAGTCTCTGACCTTCTCCCATATCCTGTTTACAGTTTCTGACCTTCTCCTGTATCCTGTCCATGGTTTCTAACCATCTATTGTACTATATTCACAGTTTCTGACCTTCTCCTGTATCCTGTCCACAGTCTCTGACCTTCTCCGGTATCCTATCTGCAGTTTCTGACCTTCTTCTGTATCTTGTCCACAGTCTCTGCCCATCTGCTGTAGTATGTTTGCAGTCCCTGACCCTCTCCTGTAGTTTGTCTACAGTCCCTGACCATCTCCTGTACCATGTCCGCAGTCTCTGGCCGTCCCCTGTATCCTATCTGCAGTCTCTGACCATCTCCTGTATCCTTTCTGCAGTCTCTGACCAGTCTCTCACCTCCTGCACTATGTCTGCATGTCTTAGTATGCCTGCAGTCTCTAACCATCTCATGTACTAGGTCCGCAGTCTCTGACCAACTCTTGAGGTGGAGCTATAATAGGAAGTGGTGGAGCCTACAGAGGAAGGGGGTGGTTCTTAAACCGGAAGGTGTGGGGCAAATTTAGATGGGGGGAGCCCGATTTTAGTCTTGCCTAGGGCAGCACAAAACTAAAATATACCACTGATTGTCAGCAGATCTGAAAAACTGTGTATGTTTGTGTACATGTCTTTGTTAGCCCTCCATCACAGGGCAACAACCTGCTATATCTGATGCATTCTTTACTGAACAACTCTTTTGTCATCTTTGAATTGCATTTTATAAACTCAAGAATGATGCTGGCATTATTGATAATTCCAATTCCCATAAGTTCCATGCCTAGCCATCAACTATTATTAAAATAATAATAAAACACAAGCTTCTATATTAGAGGCAGGACATTTGTCTTTAATATGTTGATGTCCTGCTGGATAGTCTCACACGGTAGAGAAGATGATGTAATTCATTATTACCAGAGCTACAAAAGAGAGAGGGTAGTTGGTTAAACAATACTAGAGCTGCAGTAAGTAACATGCCAATGCACTTAGTTTGGAGGTAGGGGAGCATTTTCCCCATGACCAGTACAAATATACTATATAATGTGATCAAACATCTATCATCACGATTGGGTAATTCCATCAGAGAACTGCTTCCTCGCTGCTTGGACACAGGACCAAGGTATTATAGCTGGGCATTGCACCCATGAACTACTTTATTGAACAGAAATGCTGATTTTTTTTACAATTCAGGAATATGGGCAGTCCCCACATAAACAATAAAAACAAATATTTTACAATAAGATAAACACCCCACAATGGTTTGACAACAAGGAAAAGTGGACATAATACTAATCACATCTCCAGGAGGACTAACAGACAGACAGAAACAATAGGTGACTCAATTAACAATGGGAATGCACACCTGGGAGGCACACAATGGTGGAAAGACAGTAAAGGCACAACACCTTAATAAACAGATTAGAGCACAAGTCCTCAGCATCAAGTCGTATTGAGATGATTATATCAATATCTTCGTAGAGTCTCTGAGTCTAGGAAGAGAATTTTGAAGTAGTTAATGCTGTTTTGGATACAGAGACCACAA